CATACTGTTCACAAAAAATTGCTTTGATCCATTTAGTATGTCGTTTTCTAGAATGATTTGATTAAAGTGCCTCTCTGATTTTGAAATCGGACTGATATTTTTTTTTGCTGTTTAGTATATTACTCATTGACGTGATCCGGATTATTTTATAGTATGCTGCTACCTGGTTGACACTCAATGTAATGGTTAATCTAGGATAAATACAACTAGAATTTTAAGATTATTTTCCACCAGTTCTCAAAAAGAATTGCCAGTACCCCAAAACATTATCACCAAACTCATCTTTATATCTCAATTTGCGACTTTTGCATTAGCCCTGAATACCAGCTATTACAATAGGACAGCCCATACAAAATCCTATCAAGTTTATTTAGGTTTTCAAGCTAGAAATAAAGTGTTTAGTAAATTTAAGAATGTCACTGCATATATGACATTTGTAAATATTGATAGTAACAGTAAGATTGTAATTTATGCCATTCTGTGTAGCCCTTTAAGTAAATATAGCAACATGCATGTATCACAATACAAAGCTTGATTACAATGAAGATATTAAATTTGGACACAAATCATGTCTGTTACCTACATTTGCATAGGAATTCAATTGCAGGAATGAACCCGCAATCATATTCATAGAACCCACTAAAATTAGACACCACTCTTGTAACAATTTGGATATACATGTAATGTGTAACTTTCGATGTATTTTTTTTTAATCTTGACCTGACATATACACTTGGTTTATTCCCACTAACACAAGTCCCATGTGTACATTATGTTAGTCGTCTGTATACCAGTCATGTCAAACAGGGTTATCTCTTTAAATCAGATATTGAAAGAAATGAAATTTGCCCCTTTGAAGTGCCCATTATCATGTGGGCTTTGGGGATGATAGTAACATCTGGTCAAAAATATATGATGTTAACGGATAGGGTTACATAAGCGCTGATGGTCTACAAACAAAATACAGTGTATTGTCACTATTCCATTCAATATACTTCTTGACCTTGAGTGTTTATCTGCTTCTTGGTAATCACAATCTTTTGGGGTGAGCAATAGCTGCCCGTTTTGATACTGTACATGCACATGTAACTCTAAATTTTATGAATATCTGTAGCATACTTACATATGTTAATATTATCAAGCGTTATTTCCACATGTATTTTTTATAATCTACCAGTACCAATAAGTGACAGTCCTATGTATTAGTATCTTAAAACATTATTGATCCCATTTCTATATCAACCTATTGTGATTCATGTTCAAGTAGGTACAATGTTGTATAGCTATACTAATTTTGACTAAATATGGATTGGAGTGAACCAGGAAGGACAACTACTAATAATGATAGAAGTTATAGAAGTAAATATCAAGTATGTGTAGTACATGTATGTTAAAGAGGTGATTAAACTACATGTTTATAAGTTTACACATCTCATTGTATCCAATTATTGTTTATTTTTGAAAGACTTTATTACAATAATTTACAAATATAAGCTTAAACAAAAGGGGATAGTGACCAATTAACATTGTAACATGCTTAAGGGTGAATCTTGCGTTTTGATTGGTCAATTAGAAACTATTAAAATGCTAAAATAGCATGTTACAATGTTGATAAACACTTCCTGTTTCGCATATAGAGGGGTGTTATTGTCTGCTAACGCATCTTCGGTCCTAATGATCTCAGGACGTGTCTATTGGGCAATAACACCCCTCTAAATGCGAAACAGGAAGTGTTTATCTTCTAAATATCTCATTTGTCCGAAAATTTCAGCTTAAAAAGAAGAGTTAACGTTTTGAGACTGATTGCCAAAACTGTTTATTAAGAAAAAAGGTGACTGCTACTCAAAAAAATTATCTCCAACCCCAAAGAAAAATTTGATGTTGGAATTATTTGGAAAACACATCATGTGAGTTTAAGTATTGTTTGAGACTAGAGTAAAGGGTTTTAATAGCCTTCCACACAGAATTCAACAGTTTTATTCACAGAAATATATTTCAGATTTTTACATAAATTTCCGAAAATGGGAAAGTTTAATATACCTATGTGTAGCGGAGAGTTTTTCTTAATGTAATGCAAACCACTTTAATGTGTTTGTTGGTTTACAATCAAAACAGGAAGTTGTCTCCTACATTATATTCTATAATTAGAATAGGTTTTTTCATACCTGCAAATAATACATTTCATTTTAGACATAACATTTACCTCAATTATGATACAGTAAAACAGTTTTGACCAAAGCTACAATAGAAAATACTATATGTGATTATTAAAACTGGAAGGAATTAAATGAATTAGAAACAATACCAGCATGTTTTTTTCTAATCATTTAAAGGTACATTAGTTAAGAGTTTAATAACGAGTTGGTGATTCCTGCTATAATAATTCAAAAATAGATGATAAAAAAAGAAAATATTGAAAATTTCATTCAAATTACTTCATTCTCAGCCAAGTTATCATTATTTGTAGTTTTGACAAAATGAGTGCATAGTGGTAATCAGGGCACTGGTATATTCGAGATTAGCCTCGCTTTCCCATTTTTAAATTAAATTCTTAAATGGAAAACCGTTTTAATGGAGTTAAAATCTTGAGTATCCAATGCCATCGAGAGTTGATTATGGTCTTGTTTTGTTAATAAATGTCTAATTAATAGTTTATATAACATTTCAGGCCTAAAGAAAGACCTGCAATAAGCAGATTTAGCTCTTGCATAATGTATTTTTAATTCTTACAGACACTTAAAATAAATTCTAGATATTGGCATCTAATATAAAAGGGAGAAAACAAGAGACTACCAAACAATTAGAACACACAATATGATAAGTATTCTAACATAATTACTTGGTAGCTAAAAAAATGAGCTCCTTGGATCCAAGAGGGATGGTGTGTAGTCAAATGGTACATGTAAATGAAAATTATCATTTTCATTAAACTACATGTACCTAAACATGATGCCACTTCCAAATATTTTAAACCTGTAGTTAACAAAATTGTATTGTTTCAATTCTTTACAAATCTGAACCCACCGAGACATAGATTTAACACAACTGCCACTGCGATTCTATTGATTTTTATTTTCCATAGACATGAAACTTTTATTTCAATCTAATGTATATTTGTTTATAAACTTTTGACTTGATCCATATAAGAGCTAAGGCAAAGACATTGCAGTGTTATGTTAATTCATTTATCAGATTGATAATTATATAAATACTATACACTGTATGTACATAACTACCTGGTATAAATAACTACTGACCTCATCTTAACATTTATGATGAATGTCTATATGTTTTATAGACTTCTATAATATCTCTGTACTACATGTACTGATATTTGTAATTAAAACAAGTCTAATTATGGTCATTTTGTATAATACTTTGTGATCTATATTAGGACATGTAATCTGTACAGATTTCTACCATACTCATATCTCTGTATTATAAGGCTTATCTAACATTGTCCATATATGTTCATTTAGTATTGATAAAATTATTCATGGTCCTCATTCAATTCAACCCATCATAAGGTTTGTGAAGGCTTAAATTTGTATCTTACAGTCTAGGGACATCAATACATGTACATGTGGGGTTGAGGCTGGATTACTTACATGTAGCTTCATATTCATGACTGACTGACTGCCTCATACATGAATATTTCCACAATACATGTATCTATGCACAAAGTAATTCATGTGCCCTGTTATAAATCAGTTGTTCAAGAGTATAGAATTGCACCTTAAATCAGAGGCATGGATTGATTATTTAAATTGGTGTACATGTGGGAGGTTACATTTAATTTCTGATGGCCCAGGGCTGTATTCTGAGTCATAATAATGAATACTTTGTAAATGTAACCAATGTTTTTAAACTATAAATTAAAACTAAAAATGAGCATTAAAATATATTTTGTGTATTTGCCATTCAATTAATAAGGCACTGTCAAATTTGGGTAGCATTTTTGTTTTCTCGTCTGAAACCTATTACTTATTGGCTGTCTTTAGTTTCACAGGATTATACGTCAAAGTCAACAAAGTCACCCAATGATTTACCAAATTTTTTAATGTACCGGTATTGCAATGTACGATGTGGATGATGTGGATGTTTGACGTCAAAAAATAAATAAGGTCGGAATTTTCCAGCTTTTTTCAGGGGATATAATTCCTCCTAATATTTATACAGGATGTTTTAGTAACATTGATACAATACAAAATAGATACAAATGTACTTACATGTACTACATGTAGATGATGTAGACAAATGTATGAAATGGTTTAATATCCTATTTTTCTGCACTTATTTCATTTCAGGATGTCAAATTAAACTACCCTGTATAAGTTTACTAAAATACCTATTTACTTTATTGAAAATATTGCAATTTCAGCTACATTTTACATATAGATACCAGACTGAGAATCTGTTTGCTAACTGTCACTGACATGATGCAAATTCACTGCCGAACAGCTTCAAAATTAATTCATTCATTCTACTATGAAACAAATTATTTAATCTGCTACATAGTGTCATTTCAGATTTGTTTATTCTGAATAAAGCCATATACCATAGGCTAGGTCTAATAATGTGTTTTGATATACACCTCAATAAGTCTTAATAAAATTGCAACAAATTATTTTAGTCGGACTCGGGGTGAAGGCAAACTGCAAATGTCATTTAAAAAGCAAACTAAATGGGTCAACAATTAAATATTTATTCAAGTCACTAATTTACAGACCATAAAAGTCGAAGAGAATGGGTTGTCAATGTGAATCACTAGACAAACCATCGATAGATATGAATGATTCACCATTTGGCAATGTATAACATGGGCGCCGCCATCTTTAAAAACGCCCGTTCAAGTTAGTAAAGTGACATGTCAAGTTGTATAGACAGACGAAAACATCATTTAGTGACTATCCAACAAGTGCATTTGATTATCTAATATATCAAGAATAACAGAATGAATTATAAGCGTTTAATTCTACTGAATATCGCTATAAATTTACCTTTTGTTTACTGTCGGTGAAGTCTTCTTCCGTCAGAGGGCGGGGCTATCCGGATGTAGTCTTTGTTTGACATGTCTGGGGGTAAAATTTAGTCTTGATCAGTAGGTTCTTGGCGGAGATACTAAAATGCCAGCTAATAATATTAAGGTCTCAATACAGACAATCATTACAATATCCCTTTTCCTCCAAATATAACATAGCACGTTGTTTATCTTTCTCGAAATGTCCAGTGGCAAAATACAAAACAATATAACGGAACCGATATAAAATAGAGACTTTGTGTAATATGCAAATGTCATCGACATGATTATGAATAAAATCAAATACCTCACATGCATCGTTTAGAGCGCTCTTATTTCGTACGGCCTGTTATATATTTGCTCTTATTGTACTTCAAAAGTATTCAATTATTAATTATTATTAATTACAAATGTCGTTTTCATTTTTATTCAAGAAAATATAAAAATAATAATATTGCCTTTTAATTTGACACAGATGTCATGCGTGTCGGTGATCATATATAACCACCGTGTCACATTCCAGTGATTCTGGTAATTATCGGCTTTGTTAAAATTTACTACATGTATATATATTCCGAATATTGCGTTGGCGACAGCTGTGTAATTTGATAGGCCATAAAAAGAGTTATCTCCCTTTAGTCATTCTTGGCGACAAGGACAATTTCACAAGGACTCCTATTCATAATCTTATTTGTCTGACGGCTAACCAATATCGGTTAAAATAGATACACTACACTTTCGTGTTCTATATCTCCCAGAGTTCCTTAAATACTTTAATCAAAATGAAAAATGTGAACGATATTTAATCCAAAACATAAACACAGGAAGATATAAAATATATATTCCGAAGACAATTATTCTGTAGAATACAGAATCATTGCACAGTTGTAACAGTCTGGAACAATGGTTTCCACTCTATCGGACGTTTTGCGGACTTCCTCGTGAGCCAACAGCAGTAGTCTTTGATGACCACTATCAGTAGGATGTCAAAAATATATGAGATTATGTCCGCCTTCATTGGGGTAGGAATTTGAAAGCCGCAAAACCAACGGTAAAAATAAAAAAATAAAGCCAGAATTTGGTGGGGATTTTTCTTATCAAATCTTAGATACCCTCACGGGTCTGACATATAAATATTTATCAACGATCATATGATCTCTCCACCTGTCTGTCATATCTATAGACACGCCCTTGTCAAAATCGGCAAACAGGGACAAATATACGCCCATCAATTGACCACTGAAGAAAAGCTAAATCCCGATAACCATTTACTATGTTGTCTGTACGTACTAGTATTCTGGTCTAGTATTTACTGTTATGTTTTATGCGATGCGTTACGATAGGATTGTGCCCATTGAGTCCACGATCTGGTACGTGCAGATACGTTCGGATACGTTTCGATACGATCAACATGGTTGTTACGAATGGCCACAATATATGATAAGACCTGATAGGGTCACCACAATTACTCTACGATTAAAACCTCGATTTCAATCGTAGCGCGAATCGTAATGGTGGGAACCTAGCATTAGACACAAAATAGAAATTGTGATCGACATTTTAGCATATGATACAAAACGCTTTAAACAATCATTTAAATTGGATATCTTAAGTTTATGCTGTAACACACTGACGCGATCCCTGGTGTGAGCGTATGTGGCTTGGATGGGGCGCCTTCTCAACCTCGTGGGTTTACTCCGGGTACTCCGGTTTCCTCGCACAAGAAAAACCCCTCTGCGTGCGCTAAGCATAATAAAAAATAAGACATTTTGTCTGCGATATCACCTTCGGTGCAAGCGGATGTTAAACACTAATAGAAGAAGAAAAAGGCCAGGCCACACGACAACTGCGACCCCTTCTAAGGGTACATTAATATCCCTAGAGAGGTAGGCCTATAAAAGAATTCGGTCATAATTCTAAATTTAGGACGATGCCTGTCTGAATATAAGGAAGAGGGGATGATAAATTGACAGGTTTATAGAAAACGTGTAAATATAGTGTGATAAGTAGTTTATATAGATATAAGATTATTATCTAAATATTGATTTATATACGACATATTCTAGTATTCTAATAAACATCAGATTACACTCGGTATAGTGTATTTTAACCTGTAGCTTAGTGAGCACGAAGAACATGCCAGTGAAGGGCCTGGTGTATTATCCAAGTTTTGTTTCCTATTAAAGAGGAAACGAGACATACCACCGATTGAAAAAAAAATGAAACCAGCCTGTTTCAGTGATTGTGACTTGCATACTCGGGTTATATACCATTACAGAAACAATTTTAACCCTTTATTACTTGCCCTGTAACATTTGCTATATTACATGTATATAAACGAATTACTGTTGGTTTTACTTTGCCGTTCCAGGACTCCGTAGTTTTCAATCTGAACCACAGTCAGAAATTGAAAGTCGAAATCACGAGGCCCACAAAGTCTTAGTGTAAGTCGCATGACCAGTTTCCCAAAGAAGTTCTGTTATTGCCATGTTTAGTCTTATTCAAGGTCTACGGATTAACTGTGGATATTTAGGAGAGTCACTTTAATGCGTACGACTGTGGGCCCGGAGGTGAACGGATGCTATATTTAACTTGTCTTTTTCAACTTTTCATGGTTCACCTCGGTACTTTTTTGTTTTTAAATCACTATATATCCTTATATGCAAGCATTAAATATACAGGCATTTTTATTTTAAAATTCACAATGGTTTTACACAACGGCGTCTTGTCCGAATTATCCGATGGCTTCCTTGACGTTTTTTCCCGTTGGGCTTATTATGTTAGAGTATAAAAGAATAGAATGTTAGAAATATGTTTTATTACTGTGTTCCATTTTGCACATCTCCATTAAAAGACTCACTGGGGGTTTCTTAACGAAGACACATACATTGTATTTTAAAGATATTACTCTCTCCCAGAGAATATGTAGTAATGTTGGCACTCGGGAAAAGCTTGAAGTTTGGGATTTCACAGATAGCTGTTCAGAACTAGGACAAATGTTTCTAAGACTCATCCATGCAGAAATAACTCGTTTAATTCACTAAAATATATTTGGGGCTGCTCCTTTAATAACTACTCACTAAGTACTGATTATATCAGGTAAATTATCACCATGTATCATTTATTTTTCTAGCAGGCTACTCTACGTACCTATTTAATTATCACCTCCATTTAAGTGGTTTATCTACCCTCAGTGTGTATTGGTAACATGTGATAGACTGATCAGAACTCTGCGAGAACCTCTATGCAGTTTCACTGACCACCCACGTTTAATTGTTATATCACTATGCATTCTGCAACGAGAATCATTGGTACTGAACGAATACAAACTTATAACAGCTGTTAATGCATTATTGCATTATTACGATGTGCGATTTATCAACCACAATTTAATTTTCCATTGTCTCATTATTTGAGAGCTGAAATAGTAGTCGAGGGTCTTTCTCTGTATACTAATTCTGTTGTCGGGGACAAGTCGTCTTCAATAGAAGGCATGACCTCGCTTTAACTCTGTAAATCAAGATGTTGTTAAATCTTCAGGAACATGGGGTAAGTCATCAGCGAAATCCATTTCCCCTGGGAAGGTACATAGTGTACAACGTATTCTGGTGTTACTATTCTTAGACAGTTCTGAAACACCAGTCTAATACAATTACAATAAGGAAACGTAATGGAGAGATCACACAATCTTGGAGTGCACTTGATTTAACAACTATTTATTCACATAAAATAAATAATGAATACATACATTGTCAAAAAGTAAAGATTCAAAAACAAGCCCAGGGCTTATATTAATTAGTCTCCTTATTTAATAAATATACTCCAAATACAATCATAATATGTACACTTCATATACAAAATACATTTAGCAATACGGTATTTTATATTTACTATTAATCGTGCATGTAAGTAATTTAATAGTTTGTGTCACTTTCAGTGCATTACCATTTTATAATACGCTTGCTTCGTATGATGTTTTGAAGACTTCAGTAAGTTGTATATAGTAACCAAGAAAGTAATTAATTCGACTGGTATTTTAACATGGTTATTGGAGTCTTGTAGATAAATGTATAAATTTGTGGACTGTATTAAAAATGTGCGTATTCATTTGACATGAATTATTACTATCACTGTCGGGTAGAGTTTGTAAATTAATAAAGATATTTGGTAAAGTATTTATAGTTTGATAGTTTGAAATCTAACATTGGTAAAATTTGGACAGTGTAATAAACAGTGTCCCGTATCCTCTATGTGACGACAGGAACAAGCTGGGTTGTCCGTTAAGTGCATGGCGAATTTATAAGTGCACTTGCAGATGCCTTGATTACGTGCTATATAGCTCACGCCGAGAAAACTAATTCAATTAATTTTGAATAAAATCAAAATGACCATAGATCCCCGAATCCACTCAAACGTATATCGAATCGAAATACATTTCTTTTTACCAATGGCGATGAGCTCAAAAGCAGCAATGCCTCTTTAAACGACACGAAGCTACTAATCATTTCTCGTTGAAACTTGGAATTGCTTCGATTGGATTGGGAAGTGATTCACAAAAGACTTACTGAGAGCGATTTATCGCCCTCCCTTAAGGTTACCCAATTCTTATGAAATATAGTACCTATTCACCCGCACAATGAAAACCTGACTTCTATCTACTTATCAATTGTATTGCTTTTATCAAGTTAATCTGAGGTTATTTCATATCCACCGTAAAACGAAAAATAGAATAAGGGTTTTCTTTCTTTTATGTCGTCAATTGTTTTACTTTGATCAAGTTTTTGATTAACCGATTGAGATGTCAAAAGAAAATGGAACGTAATATGGTGAAAGCACTGTACAGAGAGTAAAGGGTCCCACACGACAGCACAATACTCTTTACAATAAGTGCTCTGTCCGATATACAATATTTTTAGTCAAAATAAAGTACATGAAATGGAGTTTGACACCCTAGTTTACTGCACCAACATGAACATGACCATGCGTCATGCTATGTGCCAAGAGAAGTTTTTTCCGGATAACGACCCTACGGATATCACCTGTTAA